TAAATAATTTTAATTAATTAATTAAATTAAAACCAATATTTATATTTTCAATAAAAATTAATTATAAAAATATATATTTATTTCATCGTTATCTTATGCTCTAAAAACACAAAATAAAAAAAATTCATTAAAAAATATACTAATTATATTTTTAACGTAAGATTTTAAAAAAATATTAAAATAAAAACGAGACGTCAGGAAATAAATACATGCCCATGTTGGGATCAGAAAAAATTAAGATGTCTAAGTCATTCAATTACGAGCAGCGATATTGACATAATTAAAATATTTTTAATAAACTAACAAAAAAATTTTATTAAAATATTTAAATAATTTTATTAAACAATTTTGATATTTAACATACAAAAAGTCCTAATTTTTATTTTTCTCTAATCTATTTCACGAAAAAAAAATAATTTGAAAGATAGAATATAACCATAACTTGTTTTTGAACCTCCTACAAAAGCAAATTTATTATACTGAAACTGAAAATATATATAAAAAAAAATGGAAAATCGAATTTCAGCACAACTCCAATATCATTCCTGTATCGATGACAAAGAAAACCTACTATTTTTTCTGTTGCCTGAGTGAATGATGCCAGCAGCTCAATCAAAGATTAAAAAGAGCTCGAAACCGACTTGTAGTACAAAAGAATGCAAAATGGCAATATGATTTAAAGATGTCCAAGCCCAAGAGGTTTTAATTCATGAAAGATTTTTATTAATAATGGAAAGACAGACGATAAGTTGAATAAATGCACCGACAGAGACTAGGGTCACAAGGCACATTCTTCAACCATTGCACAGTTGTACTCAAACTAAGTGATGTAGATAGCACCAAAGACTCGTTGACCAGATGAAACAGAGGACCCAGCTCAATCTGGGATTTTATATAAACTGTTTTATAGACTCTTGTTTGATTTTGTTTTAAGTTTCCAGACTATCAAATCCAGAAACTGATAAAAATATCCAAAGGGTTAAAAAGCATACAGCACCAACTAGTCATCCACCATCACCTCAAATTCCCAGTCATGTCCCTAAGCATAGACAACTTCAACAGCCAACTTCCTCAACCCTGAAGAAATGGCGAACATATCATCAGTTCCAATGGCAGATGATAGGATATAGATTAATAAAAGGATTATTATTCTAACATGAATAACAATGTAATAACCGTTACTCACCACTATCACCGCACTGCATATCCACCACAAATTTACCGGCAATAAATCGCCTGGTCAATATGTGGAGGAATTTGCTTAATTTCAGTCCCTAGTTCTTGCTCAATCCTGTACCTGTTGTAGAAGAACAAATAACAATAAATTAAACCAGAGAAAAACCTCAAGAATTAAAAACAACAAAATCAGTCGACATTCCAGCTAAGGCAGAAAGTGAAATATCATACAAGTTAAAGCGATCCTCATAAGTGATCAAATTCACAGCCAACCCAAGGTGTCCAAATCTTCCTGACCGACCAACCTGTCCATTATAAGGATATCTGTTAGGACTAAATTGAGAAATTGATTATCATATAATATAAGTCATTAAGTCTTAAAAGAAAAATAAAATAACCAGCATACCCTGTGAAGATATGTTTCTGAGTTCTTTGGAAAATCAAAGTTAATGACAACGTTCACAGCTTGAATATCTATACCCCTAGTAAATAGATCTGCAACAGAGACAAGTCTGTTATTAGGATATCATTTGACTGCTGAGGTAGTGACTATGAGATAAATTCTCCCAACATCAACACTGGACAAATATCAGTTCACATAAAAATCAATCCCAACCACATGCAAGACAGATGGAAGACCTTAATCTTCAAGCCTCATTCAAAGAAGGTCTAACACACATTGTAAAGATTAAAGAAAACATATGATATTCCAGGACAGAAAACATGGAGAAAAGAACATACCAGTACAAACAAGATTCCTGCATGCACCATTACGGAAGTCATGAAAAACTCTGTTACGATGGTCTTGAAGCATCTTTGCATGGATGTAAAAGCAGGAGTAGCCAAGCTCTGTAATTTTCTTGGCCAGCAGTTCCACGCGATTCACCGAATTGCAGAAAATGATTGATTGGTTTATTTGCAACTGCAGATAAGGACAATATTATATTGTACCATATTAAACAGAGAGCACAAACAAAGGATTAAAGACCAAACCTTTGAGAAAAGAGTGTTTAGGCAGTGGACTTTCTGTCTTTCTTCCACAAAAGCATAGAATTGAGTAATACCCTTCAACGTAAGCTCATCCATGAGATTAATAATATAAGGCTTATGCAGATATCTGTCTTTGAAGTCCTTGACAGTGACAGGAAAAGTGGCTGAAAACATCAAAATTTGACGATTTGCTGGAAGAAAACGTATCAGCTGCTCTATAGAAGGCTGGAATTCTGGGGACAAAAGTTTATCTGCCTGAAGAACACAAAAGCACATGCCATCAGATTTTGAAGCTCATAAAAGTTAAAATCAAGCTGACTAGGAGAGACAAAAAATATAGTTAAAAACTTTCTCCATTCCACAATATGCTTCTTGCTTTATTTCAGTGGGATTTACAGGGAATATTATGGGATTCACTAACAGGAGACACTATTAATAATTACCTCATCCATAACAAGCATTGAACAATCTTTCAAAATGCAAACACCTTTCTTTGCAAGATCTAGGATTCTTCCAGGAGTTCCAACTAGCAAATGGACTGGTTGATATAAACGCATGATATCATCCTTAAGACTGGTACCACCTGTGGTAACCATTACTTGAATTTTCAAATGCTTCCCAAGCTCCTTACATACTTGCGATGTCTGAAGTGCCAACTCTCGTGTTGGAACAAGTATAATTACTGCAAAAACCCACAAAATTTTAATAAAAACAAAAATTAGTGAAGAGTGAAGAGTGAGGATGCAGCATGGACACAAAACAGAATGAAATTTATTTATTGGTTTCATAAATGATCAAGAAGTTCAAGCAGCATTTGAAAGTGACTTGCATCTGGAACCAAACAAGAAATGGTTGACCATGCATCCAGAAAGAGAAGTGCAGACTCATACAATGACAGGAAATTGAAAGGAATTTTAATTCAGTCTATGCTAATAAGCAGCTCAAGGCAATTACCAAATAATAGTTACCAATCCTGATTGAGAAGCTATTCTACTAAGAGCAGCCCTTATCTTTCAGTTCCGCTGGATAATTAAATGCAAGAAAAAGAGGTCAGGATATAGAGATTAACCTTGAATAACATTGTTATCTTGGTCAATTTTTTCCAAGGCTGGAACGCAAAATGCAGCAGTCTTCCCAGTCCCATTTTTTGCTCTAGCAAGAATGTCACTACCAGTTAAAGCAATTGGTATACTCTCCTCCTGGATTGGAGATGGTCTTTCAAAACCTTTCTCATATATTCCCATTAGTAGCTCTCGTTTCAGAAAATAGTCCTCAAATTCATTTCCTTTAGTAGCTGTTACATCCTGGAAACAATGTCAACAAGTACATCAGCACTAATCAAAATGTTAAAATAACATACAAGTATATCATCCATCTACCATGCAAACAGTGTCCTCTGTCTATCTGCCAACCTTGTCTAAAAAGAACAAAAAAGGAGGAAAAGGAAATCCTCCAAGGTTATACCTGGAAGTTATGTTTGAGCTCAACAAACAACACGCAACAATGGGGAAAAAATTACCAATGTGATCAAACAAGGCAACTTCTTAACAAAACACATTTTAAACAATTAACGAAAATGAATACAAGTGAAAATTTTTTAGCAACTCTGTTATAGCTCCATCCATACATTTTTGTGGAGACAAAGCTCTAACTGATTATGCACATAATCAAAATTGACAACCATTAACCATACCTCTGTTCTATAGCGTGTGTCTGGTGGAGGAATCTTTAGCCTTGCCTTCCAATCTTGTGAGCTAGATAAGTGAAAATTCGTAAACATCAGTAACCCATGTGCAACAATACATGAAAAACAACTAGGGATGAATCAGACAAATATGACATTTCAATAAATGGCAAAATGATAGAGATTCAATAACTTGACTGGGACTGGATTACAAAAGGAAGAATAACATAACATATTAACATAGAAGGAATAGAAACCAGCCATTCAAGTACTTAAAAATTGTTTCACCAAAGCCAATACAATCTGAGAGAACTAAAGTCAACACAATTCAACTAATTGCCTGCAAAATCTGCATGTGAATCTTAAACTAAACACAAATACAGCAATAAACACCTCAACTAAGCACCACCATTTCCACATACAGCAAGAATTTTAAAGAGGCAGGACAAAGCATCAAATAAACGCTCTATTCTCATCACATCCATCTACACAAACCTCTATAGAAATGCGAACACATAAACGAAATAAATTCAAGAAATCATGCATATACAGATACAGAAGAGAACAAGAGAGAAAACGAACCTCGAGTCAACAGCTTCAGATTGAACAGTCTTCTCGACCTCATCTACCACGCCGGAATCATTACCAGGCAACTGGCCTCTCCTGAGCCACAGTTGCTGTTGCTGTTGTTGTTGCTGCTGCTGCTGCTGTTGTTGCGGAAACTGCTGGTGATTCTGCACAAAATTCCTCTGCACGTACTGTTGCTGAGGCACCCTCGACTGAAACGCAGGGTTCATGTTAACACCCCCACCCCGTCCCACGCCCATACCAGGCGGATACCTTCCTCTACCATTCATCTCGCAAACAAACACCAGATTCAAAACCTAAAACAACCAACCAAAGACTATCTGTACACACAAACCTAAAAAGAAACTAAACCTAAGGTTTTCCAGTAAAGCCGTAAAAAGTGGCAAAATCGAGAATAATTCAAACAAAAGTTTTCAGTTTCCGAAACGGAAATGGCTAGGGTTTGTTGCAGAGGCCGAGATCGCGAATTAGAACAAAACTTGAAGACGAAGATGGAACAGATCTAAGATGAGAGCGTAGAATGGGAGATTTCGGAGAGAAATTTGAAGATTTGGTTTTCTTGGAGATGCAGGTTTTGTTGGGAAGGAGTCGGTTTTGGAGATGAAGCGAGAAAACCCGTGCTTGCTATTTGTGTGCACTGCACTGCCTAGGGCGTACGAGTCCAGTAGAATATACTTTTGGGAAATTTTCGCGTTTGCCCCCGCTTGTTTCTGTCTTGTCATATTGGAACACCACTAATTGACTTTTCTTCATTTTTCTGCCCGCTTTTGGCCGGTTTAAAAATTCTGGAGACTGTATGGAATGTTTTCTCTTTTCTTTTCTTTTTTTTATTTAATTCGGAAAGTTTTTAAGTAATTGACCGTAAACACCTTAATTTCAGGAAGAGTGAGAACTGTTACTTTACCCCAAATATCTCATTAATTTTTGAGATTGATGTTTTGCAAACTTACATAACTGTAAAATATTTTTTTCGTTTTTATTTAGATGTTATATTGTTTTAAAGTTATGTTTTTATAATTTTTATTTTTAGTCAATATTTTTTATAATTGAAAATTTATTAAAAAATTTAAAAATTAATGATAAAATCTCCTATTTGTACCTTAACGTTATTGATAATTTGAGATTTTTTTTATGGATTTCAAATTGCAGATAATGGTAATCGAGAATAAAAATTATAGAAGGTGTTATCCTAAAAAAAATAATATGTAGGATACAAATAAAAGGTTTAGCCTTTCTTTTATCTTTTTATGTTTTAATATTATAAAATTCAAGTTAAATATATACAAAGTGCAGTTTGAATTATACTATACTAATCATTAGATGAGTATGGGTTCTAATATTAGGGGCTTTATTCTTATTTAATGGTTTTTATTTTACAATTCAAACCATAAAATAAAGTTTCCTTAAAAAATATGTAACTATTTAAGTAATTTAGTTATAATCTTATTTAAATTTAAATAAAAGTAAGTAAACATATTTTTCTTAAATATATAATTAAGTTGATGTGAGTTGCATCCTTAAAATCATTCAATAAATAATTAGTTTTAAAATACATGTAAGTTAGTCTATGATGTCTAAAGTTCAACAACAACTATTAGTCTTGAAGTAGACATGGATCTTCAATGGAGCGGTGCAAGCATATAATAGAAATGTCATGATATACTATAAGTTTATGGATATATTATGTGTGCCAATTTTTTAGTGAATCAATGTGAGATTATATATGCTTTTTAAGCATTGAATTGCTTTATTGACAACGTGACATTGTTGTTGAAAATATTTGTAAGAAAATGAGCATGAATACAACACTCATATGAAGACATAGGTAGGAATGTCTACTGCATATGAAGGTAAGGAAGCCTCTTTTTATGTCATGAACATGAGTTTTGACAGTCTCCCAAATGACAACTTCCAGTTGAAGTAGCTAATTGTTAATTTTGAAAGTCTTCCAAATGATAACTTCCAGTTGAAGTAGCTAATTGTTAATTTTGAAAGTCTTCCAAATTTTCCAAATGACAACTTCTAGTTGAAGTAGCTAGTTCTTTTGAAAGTCTTCCAAATGAAAACTTGGAGTTGAAGTAGCTAAATGTTTTTATACCTAAGGGGTGGGCATACGGGTGGGCGACTAAAGGGTTACTTGGAAACTGAATTAAAAAAATAATTCGATTTGGTTTTAATAGTTTTTAGATTTTATTGTTTTGGTTTTGATATTAATCGAATAAATTTTAATTTGATTTCGATTGAATATTTCACAAATCAAAAATCGAAAATGAATATTTTAAAAATTAAATTTTGGATAAATATGATAAAATATGATATAAAATATAATATATTATTAAAAAAATTAATTAATATTTATTTAGTAAAAATTAAAACTGAACCAATTTTATTGATAATCAAATCAATCGATTTGTGAAAACTTTAGTTTGATTTTGATTCTCAAAATTAAAAAAAAAAAATTGATTATTTTAAAATCGATTTCAATTTAAACAGAAACTGATATTTGTCCACCCTTACCCATAAAATCAAGGAAAAGTGGTGACAATGAAAAACAGAAAGCGGAACCACGATTGGATGCTTTTTCTTTAGATAAAAGACGGTTATAAATAATAATGAGTGGGGTTAAGAGGGAGAGAGAGAGAAGAAATTGCTTCCTCCATTTTTTTTTCTTAACATGGGGAAATTAGGGGAAGAGAGATTACATTGTAAGGATTAGAATTATAATGGTACCCATGATTTAAGATACATCCTACCAATGTAACTACTGCTGTGAGTGTCAAATTGCTTCCTGCTTTTATAAATCCTTTTGATTTGTTTTCTATTCAAATTAGATGTTGTTTAACAGTGTTGTGATGTATTATATTATAGTTGTAGTTCTAAATTAAAAACAAAAATTCTTTTTTATTTTTTTATTAATTTAAATTATACAAATATGAATTCAAATTAATAAAAATTTATTAACATTAATTAGGATTATATATATAGTTTGAACGGTGTACATTGTGGGGTGGGGGTGGAGGTTCGAACCCCAATCTAAGAGTTAGGGAATGCACTTCTCAAGAAAGCTTAAAGTCATCGCCCACTAGGCCCAAGTGCAATTAAGATTATATTTTAAATAAAGCATTTGTGGAAAAATCTATAAGAAGTATTGTCAAACAAACCT